TATACTTTTAACAGGACCACCAACCATATTGCCAAGTACACTTATGCAGCTAATTATCAATTGGGAAATTAACCCAATTTTCTGACATAATAACAATATATATGGAGAAATCGGATTGATCCCGCAACAAGCAGCAATCAATAAGAGCATTTATATACGAATTATCGAAATGATACTAACGGCTATCAATCACGGCGAAGGATTCGCAGAAAATTACTAATAGCGGAATTGTGGAAAAGCAACGACGCATATCTAATATAAGCAATCATCTCAAGGAAGGATGAAATCCGGAAGCACTATATTTAGAAGTGGCCTATTTCTCTTATAATGTTCAGCAAGAGTGCTTTTCAGAGTTATCGCTAGATATGAAATATGAGATGTGTTTACCCTATTTCGTTTGATGTTATTGACTGGTAGTTGAATTTTCCCACAATGATAAGTAGATTTTGAGTTTTCATTGAATTTCACAGAGTGGGTTGTAGTTTCGACCTCGACTAGATCACATCAGCACTCCCAGCAGGACTCGAACCATGACAGTGCAGCGTATAATCTCGACATATTAAACACTACACCACAACTACTTGAGTGCCCTTTCGTCACGTCATATGTAAATTTCAAGTAAGGCCAGGCATTTTCCCATATCACATTCTGCGGTTGGATTGTCGAATCGATCACTTTACATATTTTTCGTTTATAAGTAGGTTTTCGAGATCAGATATACAATATGTGAAATAAGGATTGTAGTTATCCTAAATCGTATAAGGTGGTGGACAGCTATTTGAATTGCCTCGTGAGGCCGACGTGAAATCCTTTGAAAGAGAGTGCCCACACTATTTTAGCTTGAACAAAATGATAGCATTTTGGAAATTAGATTAATCATCTGACCTCTCCTCTCGGCTTATCAACCCGGGCCAATTAGGAATCGAGGTGCAGATAAGCCAGATTTGTGGTTCCAAGCAACCTTGTATATTCTTACGGTTTAAGTTCGAATATTAACTTCGCAGATCCAAGTGTCTGTTCAATTTTGGATGAATAGGTGAACTTATCTACAACCGTACAGCGCCGTAAATCTGTGACAAATAAATCATAAATAGTCACGGGTCTAGGTAAGAAGGATTATTTAGCAATCAAACTAATTAGAGATTAAACTCTTTAAAGGGCTTTCTTACCGGTCACTCACTATCTTATTTATATACTTTGCTTACGTTCGATGACTGATTCTGGCGTCCATATTCCTGTTTTTTTTCTTAATCTCCTATTTTTAGTCGGCATTGTGCTTCTCTTCGCCTTCCAGTACCAGCCACATCCATGTTCTGGCTAGTCCCTCCTGCCAACCCATTCTAGCATCAGCCTCTGGTTCGCCAAACCTAGAGCATAAGTCGAATAAATTCAGCGGAAGGTTTACCAGCAGCAGCAAAAGCACTGAGGACACAAATGCAGATAGTGGTGCTGCTTTGACGGTTGCTAGTCGCTATTCACAACCAAGCTATGCCTCAGATATCGGTTCTCGTCAAAGCCGACAACGTCCTCCTGGAATCCTGACACATTCACCTCCTCCAACACACACTAGGCTACAGCCTCAATTTCGCCACCAGTTTCATTCTCATCAACAAGCCCAGTACAATAATCACCCCAAGAAATCGTCACACTACTCACTGACGTCCCAATTTTCTCCAGATTCTAAGCACTACCTGCCTCCAGCACAAATCCGACACTTGTCTAACCAAAGTCAATTGGAAAGTCCACAAGTTAATTTCGACTCCACTTTCGACTTGCTGCTGCCACTTTCCGTTAGCCCCAAGGATTCGCTGCAAAGTCATCTGGCCAAACAGACGCAGCCATTGTTCTCCGATGTCTAACTATCTAGTTTATAGTCCTTTAAAAGATTTAAAAAATTGGCTGAGATTTAATGGAGAACAAGAACGATGCCCTAAATCGGCATGAATCAAGGCAGACAAGGCGACTAGATGCGTTGGTAAAGTGAAACAATGAGATACAAGACAAAAATCATCAGGATTCTTGGATTCTCATCCATCTCAATTGCTCCAATTCTCATAGGAATCACGGAACTAAGTGTTTGTGGAATAGGTTTAAGGTGTAGCAGGAATTAAATTCAAGATTTTAACTCCATTTTGAGACTCTCAAAACAACCATTTGTCCTACAATGTAAAGCCCAATAGTCGCCAGTGTAAACGTTAAATATTTTAAATAAAGGCAAAGGTGAAAAGCCCACGATTGGTTAGGTCAAAAATACACACACACTGGTGTAAAAAAGAGTAGCCACAAGTGAACTCAGAAATAGGCAAAAAGAGAAACCCACTTGAGTGGAATTTAGCAGTTGGATGCAATTTTACGCATACGCACCGAATTCGAAGGAAAATCGTCTAGAAAATTGAGCCTTCTCCCGTTACGAGTATCAATGTATTGACTGTTAATGACTGATGAATTTCTGGGGTGCAATTAAGGATCTCGAAAATGTAAAAAAATTATTCCTGCACTGTCACTTTCATTTAATGACTGTCCTTATCACCCCAGATAATTGATCTGTCGCACATAGCGTCTGAGCCTAAATCATTTCATATAATCAATCTTCGATTCCACGCTCCACATTCTTGTAGGCCCATTATCTTGAGGCTGATAAGCTATTTCACTCTTGCAAACGAACTAGTGTCCCGCAGTTCTATTCTTGAGGTTCTACGCTATACGCTGGAAAACTGGCCTTTTGTGTATTTATTTTCATTCAAAATGCATTTTTTTCTTAGACAGTTATTAATAAGCCAATTACTTATACAGTTATCCTTCTCACATACAGTTGGATTAGCTATTGTGGACAAGAGGCAACTTAAATAAATTAAAGCGAACCACATCTAGTGGTTACTGCAATCAATTTGCGGTGGTTGCTTCGTTAGATCAAACTTTCACGTTGTTGGGTGCTTAATCTTGTATGAAAATTCGAATCAAGCTACTTGGAAATGGTCTCGCTGCTAGCGTGCTATAATTGGCAGATTGGTATCCGATCCAATTGGATTTGTACTGAGATTTCGATGCTCATTTCATTAGTACCAGAGGTTTTCTTACTAAAAGTTTCTGGCAATAATAGAGCAAGTGTGGAAACCCATGGGCGGTGCTTCGAGGGCTCCAACACTAATCGATAAAAAAATCGATTTCCATAGGTTTCGGTAATAAAAATCTATTAAATGGCGAGCAAACTTTTCTTTTTATAAGTAATGTTGGAGGGACTTTCATTCCGTATGAAAGTGCACGAAGAAGAGATTCGTTAATCAATCTAACCAGATGAGGACGGATGAATCTCGTAGTATTGCAGCCGTTTTGCTTCTATACGATTTACATGTTAACGTAGTCCACGACATTTCCTCTCTCGTTTCGGGTGAAAATGGGCTAAGCTTTCGTCCATCATATGATGGACATCATCAGAGCTGGGTGTCATTCTTGTAAGAGTCTCACGTTAATA